CTTAAGCTACCAGCAGTGAAAACTTTCCTAGATAATACTGGTATCTTCAGTGGTGGAGTAATTAAAAACATCCAGTAGCTCTGGCTGCAGATCGTACCGCCGAGGTCGTGGTTGAGGATTTATTGTGATTTTAGCTTTTTCAACACTATCAGACCCAGGGATCAGCAATATTGCGCTGCCTGCGCTCGGGTCGGAGCCGGCGCTCGCTGTCCCATCCCTCCTCGCTCTGGACCACGTTTGGGTCGGAACCAGCCCGCGAGCAGCTCACCGAGGACCTGCCCTTGCTCAGCTCATGGTTTCCTTGGCTTGGCTTCCTGGCTGGTTTCTATAAGGATTCATTTAATGATGCTGATAGTGATGCTACTAAATCATTAGTGCCCTCGAGTATTTAAAGTCCTGACGTGAGCTTAAATCTCGCTTCCTTGCCCCTCATGCTTTAAGTACTCGGGTTGCTCGCATCCTCAGTGGGGCAGATGAGAAAGGACTTTCCCAGTGACTTTGTTGAATTCATTTTTCTAGGTATAGAAAGAACTAACGCGTCCTGAAAATGTTTAACAAATCCTTTGGCACTCCGTTTGGAGGCAGCACCGGCTTTGGGACAACTTCAACTTTTGGACAAAGTAAGTAGTAAGTTCTAAGCTTGCCGTGGGGCTTTCAGGGTGCCTCGGGTTGGGCAGTCCCAGGCCTCTCTGCAAGCTTTTAGTTTGGGTGGGTAGCAGAGTTCTGCGTGTGGTCAGGGAAACTTTCCTTTCTAAATGGAGCGGATGCTCAGGTGCTTAAATGAAGGGAGTCCTGGGGGAAGATCCTTTCATCAGGACTGGGATACATTGGGAAGACATGGATGGAAAAAGCATGTAGTCAGGGTCCTTCCTGGGGCTATAGGACTACTGTATTTCCTTCCTAATATATAGGGTAGATACCCTTAGAGCAGACTGAAAATAAGTCAGTGTAAAGGTTTGCGGTGGTATTTACAATACGTGTTTGCTGCAGCTGCAGGACTACTGTATTTCCTTTCTAATATATAGGGTAGATACACTAATTTATTTTCAGTCTGCTCTAAGGGTAAAGGTTTGTGGTGGTATTTACAATACGTGTTTGCTGCTCTTAATCCGGTTCCCAAACACGGGTTAAAAGGCCACCATGTGGGTGCTGCAGTCGGTCGTGGAGGCCTTGCAGATGAGCAGAACTGGCCGTCTTTGCCTCCTGCTGGCACTAGCCACTGTAGCCCTTTGCCTTAAGAGCTTTGCAGATGTTAAACGTGGCCCTTAATGTGCGTGAGAGTGAGATTCCCAGCTGTGGGCGCTCCTTTTCCCAAGCCCGAAGGCAGTAGCGGTGCTCCAAGCCTTGCTCCAAGCTGTGCTGCTCTCCCCAGATGCTGGCTTTGGCACGACGAGCGGAGGGGCGTTCGGAACGTCGGCCTTTGGCTCCAACAACAACACCGGAGGCCTCTTCGGGAGCACGCAGACCAAGCCAGGTGTGACCGCGATCCCGGGGGGCTCGCGGGGCACCAAGAGCAAAGCCCGAGGGGTCTGTGCGAACGCTAACGGTCTGTTCCTGCCTCCAGGAGGGCTCTTTGGTTCCACTACCTTTAACCAGCCGGCTACCTCCTCCACGAGCACCGGCTTTGGGTTCGGGACGTCCACCGGGACGTCCAACAGCCTGTTTGGAACGACCAGCACCGGCGGAGGGCTCTTCTCCTCGCAGAATAATGCGTTTGCCCAGAATAAGCCAGCTGGCTTTGGAAGTGAGTAGAAGTGCTGTGTTTCTGTGAGCTCTGACTGCTTTCAAATCCACGTTTGTAGGTTCAAGACAGGTGTTAATGTGAGTCCCTCCGTGCCCTCTCCCTGAAGGATGTATTGACTGTGCTTGCTGTCTATCCACAGTCTGCAAAACTGAACCAATGTGCTGCAAAATCAGCAGCTACGATTCTAGAAAAGAGCTTTAAAATAAACTGCAAATGGCCATCGACCAGCGTTGCCTTTGGGTCTGGGTCATCCTACAGCAGGCTTGCTTTGGCCCTGAGATGTATGAAATGCCTCTTAAATCCTCCTGTAATTCCCTGAAACAGAAGCAACTCCTTGCAAACCCTTCCGAGCAGGGAAAAGATGGAAAGCCATCTCCCTGCTTCCCTGTATCCGCATCATTGTCTTGGCACTGGTGTCAGGAGCAGAGTGAAACCTGGTTTGTGCAGCTTGGTTGTATGAGCTGGGCCCGCAAATCCAGCGTTCTGCTCTAGCTTTCCTGCATGGCTGTAAGTGCTTAGGAGCAGATTCTTTCATTTTCCAGCTATTTTCTAATTTGAATAGAATATCTGAAGTTTTGCTCTTGTGTTTGTTTGTTTCCATTTTTCACTCAGACTTTGGGACTAGTACCAGCAGTGGAGGTCTCTTTGGAACCACTAACACGACCTCCAATCCTTTTGGGAGCACATCTGGATCTCTTTTTGGCCCAACTAGTTTTACAGCTGCTCCAACTGGCACCACTATTAAGTTTAATGTAAGTTCTGTCTGTCTTAATCTAACCTCTTTATTATGGGAAACATTAAATTTTGTAGATCTTGGGGTAAATTACAATACAGCTAATCCATATGCAACTGTGCAGTGCTGTAAAATCGCTTGGAAACATGGCCCTTAGCAGAGGGAGATGGCATGTAGAATTAACTCCTCCTGAATTCGCTCACAGTAACAGAATTCTTCATTCTGAGCCTGCTCAAGCCCTGTGAAACAGTGCCCTGGCCAGACTTGTCACACTCCCCTCTGAAGCTTCAGTGCAACATCCAACCAGCCCTGAAAGTCCAGCCTGCTCCAGAGGGCTGGATGTGGGACAGAATCAGTGTGACCAGGGTTAATAAACACTGGCAGCAGCAGGGCCTAAAGCCCCTTTGGAGTGCGAGTCCAGACATAATCCTTCGGTTAACCCGGATCTAGAAAGAGAAACCGAAACTTGCAGAGCTACTGCCTCTGTTTGCCATATGAGTTCCCTTTAAGGAAGAGTAGAATAACAAAACTTGAAGGTTCTTTGGCAGTTGCAAGCGAAGGATGTCCTGGAAAAGGAGCTATCATGGAACTGGGGTAACTGGTGACCAGAGGGATCGTTTTCCTGAAATACCTGCTCAGCGTAGGAGGAGAGGGCCGAGTCTTGTGTGGGATGATGCGGCCGGTGCAGGTTTCCTGCTGGTCCTTGCTGGGTGTGGGTAGAGTTGATGCCCCCGCGCCGGCTGTCGAGGGCTGTTGAGGGTGGTAAGAGGTACTGGGGGCAATAACAAAGTCCCCGAGTAACAGGAGGATCCGTGTCACACCCTTGGGGAACCTCCTTTCGAAAGGAAACCGGATTGTTCCCTGCGTGTTACCAGGGTGAATTCCACTGTTGATTGCTGGGTGAGATCACAGCTGTATGGATAGTGCTAAAACTATTCCTGCACTAAATTTAGGCTTTAACAGACTCTGAGAAACGGGATGGTAAACTTGCTGTGTTAACCTCTTCTCTTGCAGCCCCCAACTGGGTCGGATACTATGGTAAAATCTGGAGTTAGCACCAACATCAGTACCAAGCATCAGTGCATTACTGCTATGAAGGAGTATGAGAGCAAATCCCTTGAGGTCAGTCGATAATGTTTAAATGTGGCTGTCTTGCTTGGCTCTTAACTAGCATTGTTATAGCAGAACTTTTTTTGACTGTGCTGAGCACTTCTGACGCATGTTAGTATGAGTGTGATGCACAATATCTGCATCACTCACCAAACAGAGGCAGCATCAAGCAAATCATTCAGCATTATTAGTTGGTTTTGCCTTTAATAGTTAATGCTGCTCTTTCTGGAGACTTGGAATTCTTATTTCAGTGCACTCTAGAGGAGCTATCCTGGTGGAGCAATCCTGCACACTCCAAACCTCCCAGCTTTGAGATCCTTAGAAACATTAGTTTAGGACCCCGAGGCCTTTCTGAAGTTAGCTCATTGGATGCTTCAAGAGAGGCCTTCAAATGAAAAGATCTGAAAAAGCTCTTAGAACTAAAATCTATTCCCAAGTATGTACTGGAGCACGCCAGAAACTTTGGGTCCTGTTTATAGCATCTGTGGCCTCCTTTTTTATTAAGTGTTACAATTTTTTAGTGCTTCATCTTGAGCAAACTTCAGTCAAGTGTAAACACGCTAAGAACACGTTTCTAACCTTACACGGGATGAGTAAAGAGACCCGGGTTTTCCTTTCCCAGGAACTTCGCTTAGAGGACTACCAGGCAAACAGGAAGGGGCCCTCGAATCCAGTGGGAGCAGGAGCCCCCGCCGGGTTGTTCGGGTCCTCCACGGCCACGTCGAGTACAGCCACAGGACTTTTTGGCTCTTCTACCACTAACACAGGCTTTTCATACGTGCAGAACAAAACTGCTTTTGGGACAAGTAAGTAATGCCTGTCTGCTGTCTTCACTGTTGTTCCTCATTCTTAGAAATGCAAGTAGGCAAACTGCTTAAAATTCAGTGAAAAAACAGCAGAACAAGCCCATGGTTTGTCTGATTGTTACCACCGTTCAGCAGCTGGGCTCTCTGCCATAGAGAGCT